TGTGTTTTAGTTACTTCCCAGATCCTTGAGTCATTTAGGGTATGTGTGTGTGTATGTGAGGGAATTAGCATACTATAATAATGCTAAATAATATTACCTCTGATAGCAATGTTATGCTATGAAATGACCTTCATAGTGGTTATCACAAATAATGTGGAAATACAGACTATGCACAAGATCTCTTAGGAATATTTAGTTGATGCAAACATTGTTTAAGTATTGAACTTTAGGACCAATAGCTAAGGAAGTGATTTTGATCCCAGGCATACAATATGTCTTTGGAGACCAAAGCTTACACAGTGGATTTCTTATTAAATTCTGCTATTAGAAAGAAACCATAAACATATGCGCTCTCTCTCTCTCTCTCTCACACACACACACACACACAGAGCTGGGTTTTGAGTCCGTAAACAGTGCACGGAACTTAGGCAAATTTCACGATAATCTCTTACTAACTAAACATATTAAAAGTCCTTTTTTTGGCAAAGAGTTTTTCTTATAGGTCTTTAATTAAAAATATGATTTTAAAAAATCATCTTCTCATTTCTAAATTTTAAGCTGTTGTCTATCTACATCAAATATATACAATGGTTTTGAATAAACAACTGTTGCAGTAGACAAACATAACTGAATCACCTTGCAGGTTTGTAGTCAGGCCTGACTACAAACCTGTAAGGTGTCAAAGGCTATAGAAAGGGTGCTAAGATTCAACTAATGTACAACAGAAGATTGACAACTAAAGGAAGTAATTTCCATTAAAAAAAATTAACTCTTCTAATTAACAAGGAAAAAAATCCTCCCCTTGAATTAGTTTATCTAATTTTCATCTTTATTCAAAGCAAAATGACAATGATTAATTGAAAATTTAATAAGCAGTAATTATTAACTTGGCAAACCTAGTCCCAATTAACACTCTATTAAAACTAATTATGACATGTTTCATTCAAGTGTTTGCACTTAATTGTTTCACCCACTTAAAAAGCACCTTAATTAAATGTTCTGTTTAATTAAAAACATAGATTCCTAATAAAAATGTTTTACTGTAGATTAAAAATGTAAGAGATGCAAGTACTCATATGGTTTCTTAAATTTCTGTGGTTTATTTCACACATCCATAGTCCATGACTTGAAAATCATCAGAAGCTCTCTACTGGTAGTTAAATGTCATGACTTCTGTAGCCTCTCTGGTTTCCACAGCATTATTTCTGAAGTATATTCATTTACAATTACTGTCTGCTAGTTCTTATAAACTAAAATATAAGGGAAACATCCAGACTGGAAATATTAACTAAAATATGTTAATCTTTTGGTGGCTGCTTTAGGATATGCATTCAAAACTCGGATAGAATCAGAGTATTGCAGACAGACCTAAAAGCATCTTCACCAGGAGGTGAAAAGGTGCCTTTATGACCCTATCATAACCAACTTGGGGCACCAGGGAAGCACTGTCCTTCTAACTATACAGCCAGGGTCTAATTTAGTTTGAATATTCAAGGTGAATTAAAATTCTATCTGCAGGAGGTGAAAAGGTGCCTTTATGACCCTATCATAACCAACTTGGGGCACCAGGGAAGCACCGTCCTTCTAACTATACAGCCAGGGTCTAATTTAGTTTGAATATTCAAGGTGAATTAAAATTCTATCTGAGTGGTAATATAGGACAATAATTTTTGCTTACGATCAAAGCTGTAGCTTGACTAATTGTATATGCAAATCAGGCAATTTATATTTAAATTATGCATTCCTTTTCTAATCCCACAGGCATATACAGATCAGCAAAGAGAATTGGTAGGACATGTGCAAGGTGCTTGAATATTTATTACCAACTGCAAACATTCTCTGATCGTTTGAGAAGAAATATACTGAAAAAAACATTCAGTTGCAATTTTAAAACAATCTCTACGTTAGATTTTTTCCCAGTTCTATAAAAACCCTTTGTAACTTTGGAGTGTGTTTGTTATCTTTGCTGTTGCTTTTTAGAATACTTTCAGAGGAAAACTGATGTGGCCTTCATTTTTTAGCATTTTTAATCTTTAAAAATGTGCATTGTTATTATACTGTATTATTGGAGCAATGTGAAAAGTTTGCATAGGGTCTGTAGATGAAATAACAGTATTGTATCAATGTAATGTCCTGACTTTGGTAGCTGTACTGAAGTTATGAAAGAGAATATCCTTGTTCTTAGGAAACACACTCTGTAACATTTAGTGTAAAGGGACATTACATCTTAAGCTTATTCTCAAATGGGTATACATATATACATACATATACACGTATATATATATATATTTTTTCGGAGAAAGAAAAGGAGGGAAAAAGAGAAAGAGAGAGAAAAAGAGACAGCAAGATACTAAACACAGTAAAATAGGGAAATCTCGGTGAAAGGTATGAAGGAATTTTTTGGACTATTTTTTGCAGGTTTTGTACATTTAAAGTCATTCCAAAAAAAAAAAAAAAAAGGTGCAAAAAAGACTATATAATGTACTTTCAAGCACAGGATATACTTTTTGTAATTATAATTTTCTATGAAAAAGGATGTACTGGTTTATACCACAACAAACTTTGAGAGTTCTGCCCTTTTGGTATTTTTCAAATGCCTTAAACTTTCCTTATCTTTTGCCACAAAGACAATGTATAATACTTTCATTGCAAAGGCACACATATTGGGTTTTTTTGTTTAAAAAAAAAAAAATTGCCTGCAGCCAATTTTAGAATCCTAGGAAAAAAGCTTTCAAATTGTCACAAGCTGAGTGCAGATGTCACATTCTGCCCTTGGTGTTTTCACCATGTTGAATGCCTTGACACTCTGAACACTACAAATGCCTTTTAAGAAGCCTGTGAAGATAAATATTATAAGCAGTTATTGGAGATTTCCAGATGAAACTGTCATCCATACTTTAGGGATTCAACACACTCCTTAAAATTTAGCATCCATCCACAGAAAACTATTCCCAAACTGTTCTTATGAAGCAGATTGTAGATATCACTGTGAGAAGAATAAGAATTTAATCTGCAACACTACCAAGTCATATTTAGATTGAAGACCTAATATAGATGATAGACACATCTAAAATATAATCCAAACATTTCCTTGATAAAGTTTAACCCTTTATAAATATAAATAAATAAAAGATAAAGAGTCTATAGACACAACAGAAACAAATATTGTTCTTTCACTTCTAAGTCCCCAAAACCTAAAGCACATCCAGAATCGGGTTCATAAACCAACAAAACAGTGAAGAAAAATAATGGTAGATTCAATAGATTACAACATGTCAAGTAGGAAAAAGAAGCTGATTAAGTGGAAAATACATAGTGCAGTTGTGAATCTGCTTCCAATTGCTTCTCATTTATGGTAGGGCTTCCTTTGTGCACAGCTATTCAAGTTGACTTTCCAACAAAGGTGGTGTATATTCAGAAAAATCTGCTCTCACTTAATAGCAGTCACACAAAGACTTGAGCAGATAATAGCACAGAAAGAATTTGGAGTACACAAGACCTTACTGTCAATTTTTCTTTATGAACAATCAAGAATTTAACTTAAATACACATAAGTAAGGAAAATGCAACGAAAAACACTCTCCCCTCAACATAAAAAGTCATCTTTCTGCTGTCCAAAATGACAATTCTTTGTACCTCTTATTGAAATAAGTTGTACCAGCAGATTAAAAATGAAAAAAAATGGTCAGAAGGAAGATGTAGCATCTCTTTTTCAGGTAGGTGACACCCAGCATATTTTTAACAGTTTAAGAAGACCACATGACTATTACTGTAAAGCTGAACACTATACAGCTGAACAACATATATATTTTAACCTTAGGCTGACTGGACCTATCTAATTTGCATACTGGACATACAAGAGAACTTTCTGGTTCTTTTTCTAAGCTATTAACCCTAGAATACAATCGGATTTTAAAACTCATTATCACTCTTACAAAGACAGGTATTTCTTAGAAAGTTTATATAAAATACTTGGACAAGATACAAGTGAGCAGAGAGTCAGCAAGTTGCACAGAACTACAAACACAGCTGAGTCAAATCAAAACCCAAAGAGAAATATTTTGTAGAACAAAACAACAAAAACCCTTTCCTCTGATTCTTTGATTAGTGTTGCCAGCCCTATACCCATTTGACTCTTTGCAGAAATAACATTTCCCAATTATGCAACTCAAATAGACAAACTATTTTAACAGCTGGAGTTACAGCAGCTCAAAGCCACAGTATGTTTTTCACGTCATCTTTAACTACTGGAACAGGTTTATGCTTTATCTAAATGAATTGTTTTTTATAAATGTTTTTGTCAGCTGGTGTTACACCAAGATTCTGACAGATTTGAACTTCTGTAAGCCCTATAACAAGTCGACAAGTCATCAGAAGCTTTAAATCTACTACAAGATATAGAGCAATACTCCTTAAAAAGAGAGAGTGTATACGCAAGGTAAAAATAGAAGTATAGCAACTTTGTCATTTAACTTCAAAAGTAATTTAGCTCTGATCACTGAATATTAATTAGCACAAAAGAACAATTTTAAAAGCTGATGGTAACCAAAAAATTCTTTGAGTGCCTAAACAAGTCAACTGGATTTGGATTTTTTTTTTTTTTTAAATGCAGAGGAAAAGGCTGAAGTATGCAGTTTAATTTCTAAGACACTGAATATTTTTTCATCAGAGAAAAGTCACATGTAAGCTAAGATCTCCTTATCTCCTATGCCAAATTAGGGGCCTGAAACCATTATGGCCCCTGAGAAAAAGGGGTTGTATAAGGCAAATATTGCCAACCTCTCAATTCAGTGGCACTAGCAGATGCTACTAAAAACTACTTCATGTTCTAATCAGGCCTGTTTTAAGAATATTAACCAGGATTTTTTTGTTTTGTTTTGTGGGGTTTTTTTGTTTTGTTTTGTTTTTGTTGCTGTTGTTGTTAGCAGTAGAGTCCTTTCCTGTCATTCCTCACATCACTGCATTAACAACTGCACACAGCTGCCAGAACACGAAACTCATGTTTTTAAACAATTCTTACCAGCTTTCTTCCAGATCTCCTCTGGCACATATCCAGATGCAGGCCTGTGAAGGAATTCTCGATGTGCATCTATGAAAAGGATGGAAGGGGGTGGAGAGAGAAGGAGAGCACTGTAAGCACGTTGTGTCATTTCACAAAGCGGAAGCAAGCAATGCCCACTCTCTTGGCTTCTCTACAAAAATGCAATTTTTAAGAGACTGAACACTTCACTTCTAGAAAATACACAAAAATAGCAAGGCCAGTGAGCAGAGACCAAGAAAAACAAAAGGTCATTGGTCTAATTGCCTTGTATGTTCAAAGCTGAAGCAGCTTTATTTCATTATATAATATGATGTTTGGGAACACTGTTCCCAGCTCTCTCTCACTGGGAATTTCTATAGGTATATTTTATTTTGTTAAAGAAAATAAATTGTATGTGGGAGTTTTCCTGTCAAGGGTCAAATTGGGAGTTAAAAAAATCAAATGTTAGGGTAATGTAATTTCCACAGAGCTCACATTCTATCACCATTCAATAAATAGTGAGACCTATTCTATGCCTAACTAGTTCTCACACTTAATTACTTCTTAAAATTCTCACTGAGCATTAAAAATTTTCACACAAATTAGATATGATGGACTTGACATAGGTGGAAGTAAGAAAGACTCATTAGAATGGACTCAGAGACATTCAGTGACCAAATAGAACTAGTATGTGCTTTCCAGAAAGAGAAATAAAGTTCTACTTTAAATTCTGTGCTTCTTATGCTTGTCAAATTTTAGAAGTTTGAGAGAACAACTAGTACTAAAGTTGATAACAGGAATGCTAATTTCCAGAATAACATAATCATGTACCAAAGTCAAAGGTTCAGACCCATACTGGCCAGCCAACAAAAAGAAACAAAAATATCCAAAATAATATGATCATAGAAATGACATAAAACATTTTTTTATACATGCTTGAAAATAAACAAGGTGCATACAGCCTTCCATAGCTAAAATATGCAGTGTATGTCTTCCATATTAGATATTCAATGTTTCTATGTATTTAGAAGGTTTTTTTTTTTTTTTTTAGGAAAAAAAAATCATTGCAACATCTATAAAATATAATCATTCAATCCATGATAAATTTCAAGCAAAACTGAAATTTTCTCTACATGTATAAGAAATGTCAGGTGACAGACTGATTTTTTTAAACAATACTTTATCTAATAGTATATTGAGAGTCAAAAGAAATTCAGTCCAGTAGCCCATTTATTATAGAGCTACAGAATATCAAAACTTAAGAAAAGTACAATCAACTTAGCTAAGTTTAGGGCATCATATTTGAGTGCATTAAATACATTTGAATGCTCTGAATCCTTGTAGGGCACACAGATTATTAGCTGGCCAGAACACTAGCTTTCCCCAAGTAATCTCAATTTGTAAATGTTTACTACAGCTTGGCGAAGGATACATAGAAACTCTCTGTACTATCTGGGCGATGTTTCTTTAAATCTAAAATTATTCCAAATATAAAAAGTTTAGTTTTAAAAGTATACATTATAATCTCATGACTACATAATAATCAGATGGGCTGGAAATAGCCATGCATTCTCATGGGTGTATTCATTTCTAAATGACATAAAGTAAATGACAAAAAACAAAACATTTTTACTCAAGTAACTTTCATTCTTAAAGCAAAGAAAGCTAGATAAAACTATTTGGTGCATATGTGACTTAAAAGAAATTTGATATAGCTATTTAGATTTATCAAGATTTCCCTCCATACCACAATAACTATTTCCAGAAGAAATAAAGTGCAATCAAGTTCACATTTAGCCATGTTATATACTGAAAAAGAGACAATTTTTAAGGAGAAATGACTGTCTTAAGCATAATTTATCAGATAAGAATAGTGCTGTAAAGTCTGAAGACAGAAAAAACTTGCCTTCTCCAAAGTAGCAAAAAAAAAATTTTTCTTCATTTATTGGGTTAAGAAAAGATCTATTTTTATAAAATTTGTTTTGATAAATGGTCAGTCATTGTTATAAGGAACAGGAATGGTGATGTTATGCCATCCAAAGTTCACACATGAAAGATACTAATTATAAGCCCCAGGCAGCACAGGCAGAAAAGAGTTCCTTCTAGGGCCCAGGGGAGGTGAATCTTGCTTTGCCAACTACTAGTCACGTGACACTGGGCAAGTTAGTTTCTCCATGTGTCAGCTGCCTCATCTACTAAGTGAAGACAATTCTACTCCAATTTGAGAACACTGCTCTGGGGATTGAAAGAGATACTTCCTATGACATGCTTGGCATGGCACAACCTAAACCATCATTAGATGTTACTTGCTATTATCCTCATTATCATCATCATTATTATCACTTAGTAGGTTGTCCAGTAAGAATGGATTTATACTTATTTCCTTACAAATAACAAAGGTGAAAAGAGCACTTTAAAGTTTTTTTTTCCCCAATATTTAAATCCAAATAGCACAAAACTTTAAAGAAAGCAAAACCATTAAAAAAGTTTAGATTAAGCAATATACAGCAAGTAACTGTTTAACTCCCAGAATATTTGTCACTTGGGGATAGAAATTATTTCTAACAGTTCATTGTCTTAGTCCTTAGTAGCAAAGTCCTCAAATTTCTTAGATGACACTTTTATAAATTTTGCTTAACCTCACTCATAAATGTTTATAGCCCCCAAATTTACTCAAATGTTAACATGCAGGACTCAATCAACCTTCCACACACTGTACAGTAGCTATCTTGATGGTACATATACCACACTGGAAAGGTGAATGTTTCACCTTGACTATATCTCCCCAAATTTCTCAATGACTCATTGCCATATGCACATAGACCCAAACTCCACCTGACCTAGAAATGCAATAGAAAAACCAAAGCCAATCATGCAAAAGTTTCTTAATCCTAACCTACTTTCTAAAAGAATTTTTTTCAACATATAAGAATCTAAAGGCAAATCATTATATTTACATATTTTATAATATCCTCTCCAGTTCTAAGTTACTATGTCCTTGCTGAATAACAGATTTACCAACAAAAAGAATAGAGTGATGGGTAGTAGGTATACTCCTCAGAAATCTATTGATACCCTGATGAATACTACTTTAATAGCTACAGAACCCAAATGACTAAATACATGTAATATCTCCTCTTCTGATTAAGCAGGAGCAATATCAGAATCCATATAAGCAAAACTGAGCTTAAAAAACAAACAAAAAAATGTTGAAATAGACCAACATTAGAACAAGGGACACTTTCTCTCCTGGAACTTTATGATTTTAGGATTCTAAAATAACTAATTTTTAACTATTAAGTCTTAACCACATGTACAATACCAGTTGCTATAAAACTAGATATCTGTTCTAAAATGCAGTGGTAGAAACAAAGACAGAAGCCTATACAAGATGGTTTAAAATGTGAAACATGTATACACTTATAACTACTGAAAGATAGAAAAACTATAGAAAATTCCTTCCAAATTCAGTTTAGCTTGCTTTAGGATACAAACTGCTTGAGGGTAAAAGGGGAAGAGGAGGAAAGGAGCCTCCTGAAGATAACGCACATCTATGAAGAGCAGAGACGTAATCAGAGTGGGAGAAAATGTCAGGAATGTGAACAGAAGAACAATCTACGATGTATGAAAGTGATGGAAGATGCACTACACTTACGACAGAATGGAGACCACTGGATACTAGATACAGCAAGGGCTGCCATCAATATACATGAAGGGATGAGCTGATAGCCTTTGGAGAACCAATGTGACCTCATATGACCCAGGACAGCAATGCTCAAAACTTGGCAGCACCTAGGTACAGCCTTCATCCTGTAGTGGGCAGAATGAGGCTATGATCATGATAATATTTATTACAAAAACCATCAAAAGAAAGGAAGTCTTAGGTGACTTCATCTTTACAAACACCACTAATTTTTGTTTTTAAGGATAATAAATTCAGAAATCTTAACACTTTATTTCAGGAGCCCAAACCGAAACTAGAAACTAGCAACTGCTTTAGGATTTCCACTTTTTACAATAAACATACCTAATACTCCAGGAGGCAAACATCTCTTGTTTTAAAAGATGGACATATTTAACTAATAGTCACATCTCTTCTAACCCAAGACAGTTAAATCCAGTAGACTTTTTAAGGACAGCAGGCATGTGCATTATGAAGTCAGACGAATGGTTGTGAGATCAATTTCCTGATGTGATTTAAAGGAATCAATACAAGTGTATAAAACTCCAAACTTACGTGCAGCTATATTCTGAATAACTTGTTTGTGGTTTTTATATTCAGACAGTACAGAAGTTGAAGAATATTTTTTTGGTTGGAAGAAAAATATTTTTCTACAGCCATTAATTATGTTATGAATTAGAGTCCCAAAGGTACAATAGAATTATTGTATTAATGATAGAATTCTTTTCTAGTTTCTATGCCTATTAAATAAAGTAGCCACCTAAAAATCACTGCTTGGAAATACTTTCTAGCTTAAAAAAAAAAAAATCCTAAGAATCCACTATAATTTTACAAGCCTGGATGCTAAGCAAAAACCACTATTCTTTAAAGTTTTTTTCGAGATTACACATTAGGAACAATAATAATAATAGCTAATATTTATATCTACTATTGGCAGGCACTGTTCTATATGCTTTATACCTACTAACTTATTTGATATTCACAAAAATGCCTATAAAATATATATCATTCCCATTTTACAGATGAGGCACACAGAAACTGTTTTACCAAAGGTTACAAAACTAGTATGGAGAGGAACCAGAAATTGAAATCCAGACATTCTGCTTAGAATCTGTACTTTTAACCTCCATGCTAGATTTCCTGAGGATTTAAATAGCAATAAGAAATTCTATAATTCAATCATATGACAATCATAAAATTGCCAGCTAGAGAAATTTTAAAATACTAATTCTTCCACCAACCTACTTGGGACAGGGGGCGGTACTAATTCAACAAACCCATGAATTACTAAGCTTTTTATGAACAACCGAGTTTCCATTCCACTTAAACAAAAAAACTTCTAACATTTCTCTCTCTGGCAAGAGCTAAACCCTTCCTTACCAATATA